TTAGCATAAATAGTTTTTTGCGGAAAAAATCGAAGTGGCCCCCTTCAGCAATTTCCTTTCTCAATTTTCTCCTGTGGTGCCCACCCTGGGGGTAGTTTTATGCAAAAACCTATTTGTGCTGAAATGTACATTACATACGATAGTTTTTGGTGCTGATTTCAAATATGATATTCGTTTTGGCATGAGATTGAAATGAGATCAAGCTCCGTGGTCGACATTTCCTGTAAAATAGGCTTGAAATGGTCACTTTGCTGAAATGTTTCGATGAAAATGAGCCTTAGAAAAAAAAGAGTAGATTTTTCTGAAAACTATATCGATTTTTAGCGTCTAATTCACTTTAAATACAACAGTACCCTACAAAAGTATCTTTCTAATATGACAATCGTACTTATCGTATCCATGTCGCCCTACATTATCTAAGACAGAAGTTAAAGATAAACATAATTAATATGTCATTTCGCAAAGCATGAAAAAACATGTCGATCAACATTATTAGTTTGCTTATTAAGTTTGCAAAAGAAAAAATAGTGACTTCCATAGTTATTATCCAGAAAACTCAAAAACGATAGATCCCTAAGAGTATTTGGTCTTTGAAAATTTTTTTTTTCTTTCAACAAAATTAAAAAAAATAAATATATAGAAATGTGCAGAATTTCATGCTCTATTCTTCTAACCTATTGAACTTGTTATTTAGGGGATTGGCAGATGTACGATCTTATCGGGCGGTGTCCTTTGTTTTCGAATATCAAATTTTCATATTAAATTATTTCATTTTATTTCAATATATAATCATAATAAGACAAGAAGAAGAAATTGCCTATAGCTTTGATTATAATGAATGTCGGAAAATGTCTCATTAAAATAAATCGAAATAAATGAAGATCTCCACTAGTCTACATTGATTATTTATCATAGTAAAATAAATCCATTAAATATCTCAGTTACTCAAGGCAGTTTTTATTTTAAAAAAATCATTTCATTTGTTTCGAAATAAATTATCAACAGGTTTTTTTTTCTTGAAATGAATTCTTAAATGATATTATTTCACTTCTACAATAATTCGTAAGATACGCAAAATGAAACGTTTGCTTAAGTGCTTAGTCGGATATTTTTTTCAAGAGGATAATTATTGTTGTCAATGTGAATTAAATTAAATCGGATCGAACCCTTCTGGTTTTTCGTTAACGACAGAACGGAACTGAATTGAATTATCCTTGATCTTATGAAATGTTATTAAGAAAAAAAATATCATAACAAAATCGAAACATATAGATTCTATTTAGTTTTCGAGCATTTTTCACGTCATTTAATGCGAAAAAAAAAGCGTTCGGTGACACAAAAAATAATTATGTATTTTTGAATAACTCTCTTACTTAAATAAAATTATCATTCCAAAACCTTTTAAATAAAACTTGTGATCTTATTTTAAAGAGTTTTTCGACGTTTGTTACACGTTAAAATTTCAGTTTATTTCTAATAGAAATGATTATTCATGTAAAGATTATTTCATTAATTAAAACTCGAATAGATTAATTTATAAATATGTCTACTTATTTATTAAGAAAACAGTCAACCTATTTTCATCTTATCTGTAATCTATATTAATAATAAATAATTGTATAAAGATAATAGATTATCTCGATATAATAAATTGAAAGAAGAAGTCGAAGAGTTTTTTTTTCTCTATAAATTCTTATTTTATTAAAGAGAAAATATAGAATTAAAATAAAAATAAAGTCAACGACAAAGATAAATGAATGGTTGATTGATTGACTTGTTTTACACAATACATTTAAAATAAAAGGGAATTTATTTTTCAAATAGATTATTAAGACATTTAACGAAAAAGAAAAAAAATAATTATGTTTAAATTAAAGATCTTCTGGAATATTTGTTGTTTTTTCAATCATTAATGAACAATTTTGGCTTTGTATTTGTTTAAGATTTATTTTTGTTGTTAAAGAAATTTGTTTTGAGTCTAACTTAGATTTTTTAATACAAGATGATGGTAATATAAGTGATATCATTTCTAAACGAAATTGTTGTGACATTGAACAATACATAACAAATGTTATAAATGATGAACTAATTGATGTCAAATCCCAAAAATCTCCCAAATGTGAATATAATAAAAAAAATTTTTTATCTATTCCAATAGCAATTAATAAAAGACCTTGTGGTAATTCAACAAAAACAGTACATAATGTTATTAAAACAAGCATTGTTGTTGTTCGCATTTCAACTTTTATATTTGATGATGAATTTATTGATGAATAATTATGACGAAGACGTTCACGAATTTGACGAGCATGACGAATATTTAATATTAATAATATACTAAATATAATTAATATTAAAACTGGAGAAATTTTTAAACATATTGCTAATATTCCAAAGGATATTTTTTCTAAACTTTCACCTGTTGCTGAACTAACCCAATAAACAGTTTCAGTTGAATTTAATGGATAAGATGTTGGAAGAAGTTTATGAGCTGGAACACAAACAACATTCCATACTAAATAATTTGGTATCATTAATAAACATATTAAAAGAGCAACCAACCATATTAATATCATCACATGTGTTGAATTAACTGATGTTTGTTTTGTTTTTGATATTATTGTATAACGAATCTAAACAATGGTTTTACTTATTTTATCAAAAAAAGAGACGACAAGACTTTTATATTTATTTGTTATTTAATAAAAGTGTAACAATGATAAAGAATATGTTCTGTTAGTTTGATTATAAAATAAAGAATCGAATAAATGTCGAGTGTTTCATTGAGTGAACAGATCTTCACAAGGTTTCCTTTCTATGAGTAATTTTTTCTTTAAAATTAACGGAAATTATCCTACTTGACTTTACTCTATTATTAATATGTGTCTGTACATCAGTTTTTTTCTAATAATAAAACTTACGATAGCAAGAAGACAGGTAAGCCATAATGCAATTGAATGTGCTGTTAAACCAATATTTGAATGAAATATAGCAAAACGTGGCCAAAATCGTGATTGACCAACAAATGGATTTGGATCATGAAGTATATAAAAATAAAATGAATATATATTGTATGATATTAATACGATTGTATCAAAAAATGCAACATGTTGAAGAATTAAATTTGTTGGAGTTTGAAAATTTCTTCGATTTAATATTATTATTGTTACAATACTTGTTAATATACCTAATATTGTTAATGGAAATACAATTCTTCCATGAATTTGAGCATAATCTTCGCTAAATTGAACAAGAAGACTACGAGATGTATTCGAAAACATTATTTAGTCATTTATATTTATATGCTGAAATGAACATTTATCATCTTATTAGAACAAGTTTTTATTAACACACACAATACAATATAAACTTTTTTTAACAATAAAAAAAAAATAATAAGAAGAATCTCTAGTGAGAGTGCTGTTATTCTTACCAAATATCTTATCTGAATAAGTTGTCTATGTTTTGACATATCTCGTATTCTGCTATCTATTTGTCACGAAAAGATTTATCTATAATAATATATCCGACAATTGACTATATATATATGTATATAAGATGGATTAAATTAAAATAATTCTAAATAAATAAATCTTATACGATGTAAAGACGAGAATCTTTGATAAA